TTAAAGATGAAAAAGGCAACATAACAACAGACACTGCAATCATTAAGACAATAATTAGAAATTACTACAAAGAACTGTACTCCCACAAATTTGAGGACCACCAAGAAATAGAAAAGTTCCTGGACTCCCACCACTTACCAAAACTCAGTCCGGAGGCAACTGCAGAATTAAATAAACCCATAACCGAGGTAGAGATTGAAACAGTCATCAAGGATCTCCCAACGAAAAAAAGCCCAGGCCCAGACGGCTTCACTACAGAATTCTACAAAACATTCCGAACAGAACTAACCCCAATCCTCTACAAGCTCTTCAAAACAATAGAGGAGGAAGCAACCCTCCCAAACTCATTCTATGAAGCCAACATCACCTTAATCCCAAAACCGGACAGAGAACCATCAGAGAAGGAAAACTACAGACCTATCTCTCTGATGAACATTGATGCTAAAATTCTCAACAAAATCCTAGCCAATAGAATTCAAAAAATCATCAGACAGATCATTCATCCGGATCAAGTAGGATTCATCCCTGGAATGCAGGGATGGTTCAACATTCGGAAATCCATAAATGTTATAAACCATATCCAAAAACTGCAAAACAAGAACCACATAATAGTTTCAATAGATGCAGAAAAAGCTTTCGACAAAATCCAACACCTCTTCATGCTAAAAACTCTAGCCAAAGTAGGCATAGATGGGAAAATCCACAACATAATTAAAGCAATTTATGAAAAACCCAACGCCAGTATCATACTGAATGGAGAAAAGCTAGAACCCTTCCCACTGAGATCTGGAACAAGACAAGGGTGCCCGCTATCACCACTGCTATTCAACATAGTCCTAGAGGTACTTGCAGAGGCCATAAGACAAGAAAAAGAAATCAAAGGCATACGTATAGGAAACGAAGAAGTCAAGCTTTCACTATATGCAGATGACATAATCCTATACATAGAAAAACCAGGAGAATCAATACAGAAACTGCTAGAACTTATACGAGAGTTTGGCATAGTGGCGGGGTACAAAATTAACGAACGAAAATCAACAGCCATAGTGTACGCAAATAACACCAAGATGGAAGAAGATCTAACCAACAGGATACCATTCAAAATAGCAGAGAGAAGTATGAAGTATTTAGGAATAAATCTAACCAAAAGCGTAGGAGACCTATTCGAAGAAAACTACAAACTATTTAAAAAGGAAATTGAACAAGACCTCAAAAGATGGAATAACATCCCGTGCTCCTGGATAGGCAAAATCAATATCATTAAAATGTCTATACTACCACAAGCAATATACATTTTCAACGCAATTCCAGTCAAATTGCCCAAAACATTCTTCACGGAACTGGATACAACGATTCAAAAGTTCATCTGGAAACACAAAAAACCACGAATAGCTAGAACCATCCTGAAAAATAAGAGATTAGCAGGGGGAATCACAATCCCGGACCTCTGGACATACTATAGAGCAGTGGTTATCAAAACAGCCTGGTACTGGCACAAAGACAGAAAAGAAGATCAATGGAATAGAATAGAAGCACCAAAAGGGAACCCACACAAATACAGCCAATTAATCTTTGACAAAAAGACCAATGATAGCTCAAGCAAGTGGGAAGGCCTCTTTAGTAAATGTTGTTGGGACAACTGGCTGATAGCCTGTAGAAACAAAAGGATAGACCCACATCTATCACCATACACTAAGATCCAATCTACATGGATAAAAGACCTAAACCTACATCCAGAAACCTTCAAACTCTTGCAAGAAAATGTAGGAAATACACTGCAAGACCTAGGAGTAGGTTCCGACTTTCTAAGAAGGACACCAAAAGCAATAGCAGTTGAGAACAGAATAAACAAATGGGACCTCATCAAACTAAGAAGCTTCTGTACAGCAAGGGAAACAATCAACAAAGTAAAAAAGCAACCCACAGAGTGGGAGAAGATCTTTGCACACGATATAGGCGATAGGGGGCTAATTTCCAGGATATACAAAGAACTTCAAAACAACCAAAAAACCAAAACAAACAAGCCACTCAAGAAATGGGCAAGGGAAATGGGCAAACATTTCACAAAGGAGCAAGTCCAAATGGCAAACAAACATATGAAAAAATGTTCCAGCTCCCTAGCAATAAGGGAAATCCAAATTAAAACATCGATGAGGTACCACCTAACACCAGCAAGATTGGCCCACATAAACAAGAACACCAACGACGCTTGCTGGCGAGGATGCGGGGAAAAGGGAACCCTACTCCACTGCTGGTGGAGCTGCAAATTGGTACAGCCTTTATGGAAATCAGTCTGGAGAACACTCAAACAACTCGGAATCTGCATGCCATATGACCCAGCAATAGCACTCCTAGGAATATATCCAAAACACCTGTTTTACGACAAACCAACATGCATCCCCATGTTCATTGCAGCACAATCAGTAATTGCAAAAACATGGAAGCAACCGAAATGCCCATCAATAGAAGATTGGATAAGAAAGCTTTGGTTCATCTACTCCATGGAATACTACTCAGCTGTTAAAAAAAACAAAACGCAGTTCTTTGTGGCTAAATGGGCACAACTGGAAACTATAATGCTAAGGGAAATGAGTGAATCCCAAAAGATTAGATACCACATGTTCGCCTTGATTTAACCTGTAATTTATTGTTTGGTTGTTTGTTATTTTTTGAACGTGTCATTGATGCTGTCTCAACCCAGATGTTTCGAAGAATGGAACTTGCATTATTTTTAACATATTGTTTACCCAATACTATGTCAATTAATTCCATAATGTTGGATATTGATACTGAGGCCTTGTTGCGGCTTTTAACCGACCGGATCTTTACTCTGTTAGACCTATCTTCAGACCATAGAAGGTCTCCCCAGGAGGCCACTGAACTTATCTGGACAATAAGACGCTGAACTTTATGCTAGGCATGTGTTTGCAAGCAATGAATCTCAACTGAACTTGAACTATGGTTATGCAGCAAGGTGGAGGAATCCACCATGGGGGGAGGGGTATGGGGAGGGGTGGGGGGAATCCCCAGCGCCTATAAAACTGTACTACACAATACAGTGTAAGCAACAATAAAAAAAAAAAAAAAAAAAAAATCAAAATCAGCCCAACAAGATCTATTGGAAATTGTGTTTTTCACTAATATGAGTAAATACACACTGAAAAATCTTCATGACACCCAATTCTGGAACTATGCCTCTCAATAAATATTCCAAATGCAGATATTGCTATAACTTTATGACAAATGTAGCAAGCAAGAGATAATCAGCATGCACGGTGGACTCGGCATCTTCTTAACATCTGAGACTTAAATGGAGCCTCTGCTCATTTTTTCTCTCAAGAGTATCATTTCTCAGAATAATAATGATTTCCTTTCTTCCACATATAAACATTCTTTCCCAACAGACACTTAAAGGTTCAACTGAAATCATTTGCAATCTTCTTCCATCTTCATCCCCTTAAACTCTTTCTTTACTGAAACCATAATCACAAAGAGCTTCCCCTGACTGCTGGAACAAAGATGAAGCATTTTTGTAATGACATAAAACAAATCCCTTCTTGGCTGGCCCATGCTCCCTCTCAGACCCTCTTCTTCCAATCTCAGCCTCAGAGTTGGTGCTTCAGCAAGTTAAAAAAAAAAAACAAAACAAAAAAAAAAATGTGCTACTCCCCTCCCTGTTACGATTCCAGGCTTTTCCTACTGGTCTCACCTCTGTTTGGAATTCCTTTCTTTCCCTACTTCTAATTCCTTTACAAAACAATTTCTATTTTTCTATGATGACCTAACTTGTTTGAACTGTCCCTGTACCTATTAACTGGGCTAACATTCCCTCTCTCTAGTCGTCCCAACACGTTCTGTGAACACATAACTCAAATAGGTTTTTAGGCAGCACTGCTACATTTCAAGTTAGTGAATCCATTTCTATACTAACCTATAAGCTGATTCCATATTGTACCACCTATCATTTTCTAGATTTATACATCTGAATTTAACTTCTTAATTTACAATTATCAATACTATTTCTGACAACAAAATACTTAAGCCATTGTATAAAGAATATGTAATCCCACTGTGGTGAAAAATACTACAAACTGATTGGTTTAAAAATAATCAGCAGCTTGAGAAAATGGAATTTAATCTTTTAAAATTTTAATAGCTGGCCTGAAGGACATGTTTATTCACAGATGTATCCCAGAAGCATTTGTTTTTGATTTTTTATGTGCTATCTCACTACCTGACACCAGCACCACACTTGGCCTAATGCAAGATTGTGACTGTTCACGCAACAGTCACACAGACGAGTCCAAAGGCATGGCTGAAATGGTGCTTTTTCACAAAAGAACGTCATCCAGTTTAATTAAAACAAAGGCAGATCTCTATGGTTTTATAGCTCAAAGTCCTCATTATTATATACTTTAGGCATAATGAGTATACACATAGGACATTCTTAAATGCATTAATATAGAACAGTCTAAGCATTATATTAATGAAAAAGAGATGTATTTAGGGAAAATAAATTAAATGGATAGGTCACTACAGACATTGACTATTCAGGGATAATTTTGTGTCCTACACACTTGCACCCCTCCGCTAACAACGACTTAGCACTGATTACCTGAGGTGTCCAGATGACTGCTACAAACCACCCACATCACCATGATAAGAATACTTTAAGGTCAATTTTTAAACAAGGCAAATTGACATGACACCTAAGTAACAATGCAAAATTCCACTTGTCTATTAATAAGAGAATTACTTATATTCTCTTGTTTTGCATTCTGCTAAAAGGGAGCAATCTAAAACCACTTTAGAAGAGCTTCCTGGAGATTGTTCGGCCTTTCAGAGCATTTCAATTACTAAAGAGGAGTTATCTCAGAATCAGACTTAGGGAAGCATTACAGAATGTGCCCTCCATGTGTCTCTCCTCGCTCCTCTCCATGCGCATGTCCTCACTCACACTCTCTCTGCCCCATTTACAGAATCTAGTTCGAAATCCTTACTTTGTGTTATGGGTGTCGATGGTGTGGAAGAGCTCATGTAATTCTTCTCCACTGAGAACACCATCTGCAAAGTAGGCTTTGAATTCTTCAAAGGACAACTTTCCATCATCTGAAATGGTAAGAACAGAAAAGAAGCACTTCATTTAAGCTGTATACTTGTTCTATCTTCTGACCTTTAAAACTCTGTCCAAATGCTTGCGCTATGTGTTGTGTGTGTGGTATACACCTCATTCAGTAAGAAGGAACAGTTCTGGGTCTCAGAAAGATAATTTAACATACCTACATACCACATAGACTTCAGGTATATACTTTGATGGACTAGAAGTCTGAGCTGTTGGGGTCTTTTGGGGTCATTTATTCATGTGACAGATATTTAACATCCAAAGAGCCACTTGATTGCCCATACTAAAGAGATATCTGCACGAACAATGTAGAGCCCAACAAAGAGTCAATTATTCTGTTGTTTTGCATTCACAATACCAAGCAAATGCAGGATCTAACAGATTGCAGGGTCAGTGTCAATGTCTACTAAGTGCATACCGACTGAATACTCGCATGTGCATGTCAAGACTTGTTATAATTGTACGACTAATGCTGTTGATTCTTATACCATTTAAACAAATGAGTACTTTTAGAATTTTACAGGATTGCCTGCTTAAAAGGCAAAGAGAGGGAGGAAGGGAGGTACATTGGGGAATGGGGAAGTGGGGGAGCAGAAGAGAGGAGAGGTTGCAAGAGAAAGAAAGAGAGAGGGAGAGAGAGGTATCTTCCACCCATTGTTTATCAACACCCACAACAGCCTATGCTGGGCATATCATGGCCAGGAACTATCTCAAGTACATCATCCATAAGCTGAATTGGAAGGAGAGGAGCTGGGCCTCGGATCTGGAATGCAGATGTTCCAAGCAATGACTTAACTTGCCCCACCAATGACAAAAATACCTTTTATTTATTGTGGCTGCAAAAGGCAAAGAATCTGAAGATCCTCTGAGTAGCAGGGAGAAGAGTGTATATATGGGTATCTTACACAGAACTCAGTAAGGATAAAAAACACAAAGAGACTTTAAAGGTATGGCAGTTTGAGTTTAAAAGAAGAAGAAGAACATTTGGCAACCGTGTGATTCCTCCTTGCATGAACACCTGAAAGATCCTACTGTAAAGGACACATCAACCTGGTCACTGAATCACTTAGATTTTCCATTAAGGACCTAAAGTTATAATGTTTTCAAAAATCCTTATTTGTGAAATATAAATGCATACACACTGAAGAGTTTTGAAACGATATATTTCATTGGCTTTTTGACTGACTAGGTACCATAAGGTATTCATTCTTTCAGTGAATTCTTGCCAGTAATTAACTAGGCAAGCCTAGGGTTCAGGAAGGCCAAACCTTCATACACAGATCAAAGCACAGACTGCACAAACAAGAGCTCAGCTATTCACAAGTGTGCACGGCCGGGTCTCCCAAGGGTTAACTCCACAGCTTAGCTTGTTTCTCAAGGTGTAACAGGATGGGCAATCTCGGCCCCTGGCTTGACTGCAAGTTCCCTCTTCCCTGCTTCCCCTTTTTTAAGATGCCCTTGGGGGAGCTTAGGAGTTGCTTGAGCATTGGGAAAGTACTGGGAGGAGCTAAGCAGACTATAAAAATGGGGACCAACTTTGAATAAATGGCATTCTCTTTACAAGAATGACCCACTGTGTGTTGTCTTTTTTGTAACCCTAGTCCCTAGGCGGGTATGCAGCAACGCAGTTGTTGCCAACACAAGTGCAATCTACAAGGCTCATCAGTTGTCTGAAGTGCTGCTTCTCTTTTAAGATGAGTTGCTTCACACTCATGCCTCCTAAGACTGTTTTAAACTTCAGTTCCATATAACCTGCTATATATCCTGGATTAGGCTCTGTGTAGTGTTTCTATCTATATCTTCTTACATTGATGAAAATATGCATTTCCAGAAAAATATGCCAAATATACTAGGTCTAGATATAGGCTAAAGAGAGAGAGTAGAAGACTTTTTCACTCACTATCTTCAAATAAAAGAATGAAAGAAAAGGAATATACAGAAGCCAGCCCACTATTTTCAGCGTCACCACTGTGTAAACAAAGTAATGTACACATACTGACGATGGACTGTGTTTTCCCTGGTGAACCAGTACTAATTCCTGTGTGGGCTGACTCGGGCTGTTACAGAATCCTGTGCATGGGGTGGGCTTCTCTAACACTGCACCAAACCTATGATAAGTAAGTGTTTTCAAGGAATAATGTGCACAGTATTAAATAAATACACTGACTTTAAAAATGCTCAAATCATTCTACAAGAAAGCATCAAAAGGTAAACCTTATTGGGAAAAATGTAAAGGGAAGACGGAGGTACTGGATTAAAGTCCTGGCTTGAAGCATGGAAGTCTGCTTTGAAAGCCCGTTTTACCACACACACAATGCCTGCAAGCTTTAGGCCACTTCACTTTTAAACAGTACATAGAGTAACTTTCAAATAATTTTTCGAATTTTTTTTTTCAAGGAAAGGGAGGAAAAGATCCCCTTGAAGTATGATTCTGCATGAATAAATAACTGTATTTTTGTTATTCTATTTTGACTTCAATGTTCCTATTTTTTTTTTAATTGAATGACACTGACTTCTGTTGATCTGGCTCACAGAAAAGCTAAATAGAATGGGGTCAAATTTCCTGTTGTAGGGGTCAGTTGTAGAATAAAACTGCCACCTGCGGCAACAGTACCCTATAAGGACATCAGTTTAAGAGTTCAAGCCCTGAGTATTCACTAATGGTCCAGCACCTTGCTCATGCATCTGGGAAAGCAGCAGAAAATGGCCCAAGTGCTTGAGCTTCTGTGCCTACAAGGGAAATTTCAAAGAAGCTCCTGGCTCATGGACATGGCCTGGCCCAACCCTGGCCATCATGGCCATTTAGGGAGTTGACCAGTAGACTAAAGCTCTCTCTCTCTCTCTTTCCTCACCCCCCCTCTTTCCCCCCCCCCCTTTTTTTCTCACGTTCTTTGCCTCTTCAGCTCCCTCTTTGTAACTCTTTCAAATAAATATTTATTTTTAAAAATCCCCCAATATCTCTGTTATTTTTTTCTCTGAGAATCAAATACTTTTTCTGATTTTCTCTTAAATATACTTAGCTCCCCTCTAACTTACTCTCTTTTACCTTATAAATTCCATTAATGTTTTTGACATGGAAACAGTAGGATGCCGTTGTGTAGTGTACTTAGAATGAGATATCTTGAGTCTTAAAATATGGATTTACTATAAAAATGAAAATAGACATGAGACAGCTGAATAGTACCCTATAACCATTTTAAGGTTTATAGCAGCTGGTTGTGTATATACTAAAATTGAGATGTCAAGGAAGTAGTTACAGGATGTGGTTAAGAACTTGCATTTTCTAACATATTGGTTACTTAATACCATGTTAATTAACTTCATGATGTAGCTAATTTCCATGTTTCTTTCTGTTGTTGAAGTTGTATAGTGGCATCTCATGGAGGGGATAATATCCTGCCAGCTCTACTTTCAGACCAAGAATGATCTCTCAACGAAACTGTTGAATTTATCTGGACAATAAGATGCTGAATTCTTTCCATGGTCCATGCCCACAATGAAGGAATCATGACTGGTAATGAACTGTAACAATATGGAGGAATTCAGTATCGGGGGGAGGGTTGGGGAAGGGCTGGGGGAATCCCAGAGCCTATGAAACTTTGTCATAAAATGAAATACAAAATAAAATAAAATAATAAAATAAGGATTTACATTTGTTGGCCAAACACTTTCATCCATTTATTCCTTAAATACTTACCAATATCTGAATGTCTGTCAAACACTGCAGTTCACACTAAGGATATTGGTAGACAAGTTCTTAAGGATCTGGCCATCATAAAAGACAGCAAATTAACAATCAAGTACTTGCAGAACGGAAAGGGCAACTTTAGGGACCCAGGTCGGAGTGGTGTGACATAGACAAGACTTCCCAGAAAGTGGCACTTGTGGTAGGACACAGTGGAAAACTGGGATTATTGAAGGAAGATCTTTATAAAGAAATATTATTTCATGTGGAGGGAATACTAAGTTATGGGTAAGAAATTACGCAAATTAGACATCGAAAGAAAAATCAGAATAGTAAAAGAGTGTATATTTGGAAGGAAGGAGAAGTCAGAGTGTTAAACACAAAAAGGCAATGCCATCAGAAGCTCTGAACATGGAAAATCACAGTATGGAGTTTTGAACCAGATCAGCAGCTCTCCCAAAAACACTTAGGAGCCATTGTCGTACTTCAGAGAGCTGACTGCAGTTGTAGCAGGTAGAATCAACCACTATAAAATTACAGGCAAAATCAAATGTGAGGGCCCGGCGCAGTGGTGCAGTGGTTAAGGTCCTTGCCTTGCACGCCCGGGATCCCATATGGGCGCCAGTTCTAATCCCGGCGGCCCCTCTTCCCATCCAGCTCCCTGCCTGTGGCCCGGGAAAGCAGTCGAGGATGGCCCAAGGCTTGGGACCCTGCACCCGCGTGGGAAACCCAGAAGAGGCTCCTGGCTTCGGATCGGCATAGCATCGGCCGTTGTGCTCACTTGGGGAGTGAATCATCGGACAGAAGATCTTCCTCTCTGTCTCTTCTCTATGTATATCCGCCTTTCCAATAAAAACAAAATAAATCTTTAAAAAAAAATCAAATGTGACAGAAAGAGAAGTGAAAGATGTATAATCTGTTTTGGAATGAGCAATGAGCTGGTGATGGTGAGAGTGAACACAAAGTCAACCATGAATCTTACTGGTTGAAGCACCAGTTATTGTCACTCATTGAGAGCCAGGACACTGCGGAGAAAGCATGTGCAAATTACACGTGTTTATGGAATAGAGACACCCAGTAGGCAGTAAGACATATTGTTATGGAAAAGCTCAAGGAGATTTGGGGATTGGAACAATGCTTAAGCGTTACTAAGACTCAGTAGTTGAGTTAGAGTCCTGCTGGGTAGAATACATATAGTGAAAATCCAAAGAACTCAGAGCAGACTTTGGAAACTTCAAATTTCTATCATTATGGGTGCAGCCTCAGCATAGTATCATACGAGGTGGAGACTGGTGAGAGCTG